TTTGATTCAATCCTTGATATTTTAACCCAAATTAAGATTCAAGGCTAGGATCCAATAATGTAATTCGAAATTAAGAAAAGGGATGTCATAATCTAATCACGAATTCATTTAAGGTAGGTAATGCATTTTACCAATTTTAATCTATATGAAATTCCTAGATCATTTGATATTCATTGAATCTTATCAGTGACATGTTTAATCTCGATTATGCTCTTCAATTTGTGATTGGGGTGCCGAGGATCACAAATAAGATGTGAATAACCATGCAAACCCACTTGACAACCTTAATGTCTTTTTATCAACTCAAATTAATGTGTCGGTAAACCACTCACGTTTCATTAATTATTGATAATTTTTTGAGTTGTGCCATCATTTCAACTTTATAGTCTCTAATTAGTGGTTAACCACACATGCTCCACTAACGACTCATAAAGATTGATGTACATTTTCATGGATTAGCATACACTTTCACATTTTTCCATAAAGTAACTAGAGTGGGAATTTTTATAAAAGGTTTCTATTACTTTATAACATTATACTTTTGAGGTTATGTCATATTGAACCCTTTCTGCTAACGACCCTCCACCACACATGAGAGCGGTGGGTGGGAATAGACACTCATTCAACTGCCATTGTATAGGCCGCTTCCTTATACCCTCATTATAGCATGGCTTCGTGAATGAGGCATACTAGCGATTCAACTTACTCATGTTATAGATATAGTATTGAACTTTTAATATATATATATAAGTATAAGGGTGTATTTTAAACATTTAAAATAAAGTTCAGAAATTTATATTAACAATTTCAAAATTAATCTTTTTTAATTAATCATATAATTAAATTTAATTAAATCATGAGGATAATTCAAAGATTCTAGATATTAGGAGATCAGATTACCAATTTAAATATTCAGATTTTATCCAATTAAAACAATATATTTAAATGTAATTATCCTAATCTAGATCATAATTATCTCAAAAAATCGTTGAACAGGAGGTCCCCCACGATGTAGTAGATAAACTCCACGTCGTGGCAGAAGAAAAAATACGAGGATCAGACAGTTGGCCACGATGTGGTGACGAATCAGAATGTCGATTATGTTTTCCTTCAACTGTTCAAGTTCAATTTATGCACATTCAAGTGTTAGACAACCTAATTCTTTGATACCACTGATGGGTTTTACATGTAATAATGCGGAAAAATACCTTAAACTCTTAAGTGTACATGCAACCTAATTGGATCTATGTCATAACTCTATTGAAGCAACATACTATTAAACAACAAAACTATAACCCTAATTGAAGTCGAAATTCACAAGGATAATTACATACCTCTGATTTGTTATTGTAAACAACCCCTTTGATAAATCCAATAGTCTCTTGAAAACTAGCTTCAATTGTGTGCAAACCTCTAATGGTTCATACCCATAACACAAGAACCCTCGAAGATTTAGGAGAGAGGGAAGATGTATCAAATTTCCAGCTATGGTCTCTTAGAAAAGCATGACCGAAAATTGCAAGTGTAGGGTTGTATTTATAGTTGATTAGGAAACACCTAGAAACCCTAATTTGAACATAAAATAATATTATTTCAAATAAGGTAATTACCTAGTTCCTTTATTATCAATATGAAGGCATCTATAAGGCTCTAAGAGAAGCCTTAAAACCGTCCCACATAGGAGGGTTCTAAAACCTGTCATCTGCTTAACTTTTGAACAATTACAATTATAGTCCTTCAACTTTTAATTAATTCTAATTAACCCATAACTGATTCTAATTAATTCTGATTCATTCTAAATTAATTATAACTAATTTTAATAAATATATTAGTCATATAATATTTTAATAAAACATTTATCTCTCGCTAAATTCAATTTAGACAATTTCTTGATTATGAGCACAACCCAAAAAGGACTTTATGTTTAATCAACAAGGATTTAATCAAAGGCTTCAAGGGTATGATCCTAACTATCTTATGTATTGTTTTAGTTGCTTAACATTAATTGGACTTGGATCCACCCTTCTGTTATTGGATTTATTTGTATTTTTTTCATTGTGCCTTTGTGGCTTATTTTGTTTATTTGTATCCCCATAACCCTACATTGTTTGTGTTAGAGGTGGTTGGAAAGGCTCAGGCCGAGGAGGTCAAGGTTGGGAACTAGAAGAAAGTGAGTATTGTGGGACTAATTCTATTTTGGTAGAGTTAGTTGAGGTTTTGTAGACCAGTGCAAGCGGGATGCAAGACTATAATGGGACTATAGCATCCGTATGTGATTATAATACTATAATGGGACTATAGCTTTTTCATGGATGATAGGATATGTATGTAGTAAAGTGTTGACTTTTCGGAAGTTAAGACTGAGCATCAGAGGTCTTTTGGGCATGTTTCAGGAATATGGATACAATTGGAGTTATTATGGATGGGTTGACCAAGGGTATTCTCTTTATAGTAATTCACGAGTATTCCTCGTCGAAGGAATAAGTTGTCATTTTTGTCAGGAAGCTGATTATCAGTCATAGAGTGCTAGTTTCAAAGGTTTCAGACCAATGAGTTCCTAGTTTTGGAAAGATTTCATTAGGATCTTGGTTATGATTTTTGTGCTTAGATTTTTAGTAGTTACGGGTTGTTGAGCAAAGGTGATTGGAATAATGGAGGTGTAGTGGTAGCTCATGCGACATTGCAAGTGGGCTTAGAGAAACCATATAGAAAATGTGTGAGTAAAATCCAGAGTTATTTGTGGAGGCGGATTTCTAGAGCGAAATCCAACTAAGTGGGGGAGAGTTGTAACACCTATTTTTGGAAAAACCCTAGTTTGCGACGCGTTTACTAAAAGAATATGGCATGTATCACGTAATTAATCGTGACGCGACTAGCTGAGTGTCATGACGTATGGACGCAATCATCCTAAACTTTAATCTCGGGCCTTGATCCTTATTTAAAGGCACTAACTCTTAGGGTTTCCCCATTAGCTCAGCCTCTATCCCCATAAACCCTAAACTTCGAAATCCTAGCCTCTTTACCTCCTTTGTTGGTGTTTTAGTGCCTTGGAGTGAAGATTGAACATGAAATAAACCATTTTGGTGTCAAGGGAAGCAAGATCCAAAGATTTGCTACCTTCTAGACACTTCTTGTGCTCTGTAAGTCATCAAGTTCCTGTCTTTATGGTTTTTGGTTGCTAGATCTAGTATTTTTAGCATTGTTGGTCCCTTTTGTCATGATTTCTATGGAATTTGGATAACTCCAACTCTAAAGGTGGTTTTGGTTGATACCTTGGACTCATTATAGTGTATTAAGTGCATGTTTAACTTCCTATTTCATCCATGCATGAAGTTGTTAACATTTTAGACTCATGTAGATCTAGGGTTGGTGTTGGACTTGTGAAAGGCATGGATATGGATAAAGTTGGAAACTTTTGGTCAAACTGTGATGGATTTGAGTACTTTACTAAGGATTGGTCTTGGATTGGTATTAGGTCGTTTGTACTAACCATTTCATTTGCGGAGACTGTTGTTAAGATTCTGCTTGCTAGACTCATGTGAGTTTTCTCATTATGTTATGTGTGACATGATATGTCAATGTGTTGTAATATCCATATGTTCAGTTCGTATACGATTATATGATAGATTGTAATAATCTTGTGTTAGGATATCCAACAGGTATGTTTGATTGAGATCTATGTTAGTGTTGGTAGATAGTTGAGTGAATTCCTTAGGGGTTGTACGTAATAAAAATCAGATAGCCTTATAAATCTTGATCTAGCCTTATTGAATGGTCCTTTTTGGTATATTGCTTTTGGGTAGGAACATATGTTCGATTGCCTATCTTATCTTCGACTACGTATGATTATGCATTCATAAGGTGATTCTTCAATATTAGCATAAACTTTTGTATGGTTTGTATAATTGTTAAGGGTATATAGTTTGTATGATAACTGAAAGCCTATAGTTGGTATGAGGGCTGGGAGCCCATAATTTGTTCGATGGCTGAGAGCCTATAGTTTGTTCAATGGTTGATAGCCTATAGTTTGTTCAATGGTTGAGAGCCTACAGTTCTTTGATGGATGGGATCCTACATTTGTTATGTACGATGCGATTATAAGCTTATTGTTGTATGTATTGTAGGTGTGATGGAATATGTGGTATATTGGGGAAATCACTAAGTTTTATGTTTACGTTGTTAAGTTAAATATTTTTTACGTTATCCAAGTGTGAAAAAAAGAGCATGGTGTGACTACACATTCATAGCGGTGATAATTTCTATGATTTGACTATGATTTGACATTACAAATTATGATTTTGAAACAAATGGGTATTACATTTTTTATTCAAATGATGATTTTTAGATGTTTACTCTTATTTTAAAAATGTAAATTTTATTCAAAAATTTGGGACGTTACAATTTAATGGTAAATTGTGTACAATAAAAGCATTAACTTGCACTACCCTGTCAAAATGGTAGGTTTTGAACAGTTCTTATGAGTTTAATGGTAAATTAAATAAAAAAGATTAAATATATACAAAAATGATAGTTTATTACTTTTTAGAGTTATTTTTTTTATTTTTACATATACTACAATTTTATAAATAATATTTATGTTAGAATATTTTATGAGAATGATGATTTTTTATATATATTCTTAGATTTTAATGTTAAATTTGAATTATGCCTCGTGGTTTTTTTCTTTGAATAATATATACCTAAAAATAAATATTTCGGTTTAAAAAATGTTGTCATTTCAACAGTTATTATATGAATAGTTATTTGCGATTACAAAGTAATAAAACTCAAATCAGAAATTAGAAATAAGAATACATCTAAAAAGGGAAAATCTCCATAATAGTCCCTTAATTTTGGGAAAAGTTACAATATAGTCCCAAAAACATTTTTGAACAAAAAAAACCCAGAAAACCGAATAAATTGAACATTTCGACCCTTCTCATCCGGTGACCCTCATTTAACCGGTAACACTTGAAGATGTGGCCTTAATTGGCTTATGTGCATTCAATCTCAATCTATTTACAAACCCCGACATTTACTCTCCCCTCTCTCGTTTCACGTTTCACCCTCTTAGTAAACTAGGGTAAAAAAAACTAGGGTTTTTACCCTTGAACACATACACACAGGTGAAATCATGGAAGACATCCATGATTTGGATACCATAGATGTGGAGCTTGATGAATACTTCAAAAGGAAACAAATTTCCCAATGCAAAGACAAATTTCTGAATATTCTCTATGAAGAAGACGATAACGGCGCAAATGATGATGTTCAACCTCATATCAATATAGAAGAAGCGGACAAAGAGTATATGGAAGGTAGTGATGAAGAAGATACTGATGACGATCTCGAGTATTACACCATAACCTAAAGGTGAAGTGGGACTTAATGAAACCAACACGTGGTGAAAGGTATGAATCCCCACATGAATTGAAATTGTCTTTAACCAACTATGCTATTAGTAAGGGTTTTCAAATTCACTTCAAAAAATGTGATATTGTTAGACTAATGGCAATATGTGGTTGTGATCCAGATAAGTGCCCATTCATGGTTAGGGACTCTTGGATGAGTATTGAAAGTCATTCCAAGTCAAAAGGGTTATAGACGTTCATACATGTGTTAGGAATTTTAACAATTCAAGACTTATGAATCCTACCTGGTTAGCAAGGAAATTTGTGAAGGGGTTGATAAGGAAACCTAATTTAAAATCCAAGGAGATGCAGGTAATTATATAAAGTAAATTTCATTGCAAAATGTCATGGTTAAAGTGCTATAGATCAAGGATGAGGGCATTATCATTAATTAATGGAAAATTTAGTGATCATTATGCAAGAGTTTGAGATTATGGGCTTTAGTTGATGAGATCTAATCTAGACATTATAGTTAGGATTTTTGTTATTGTAAACCCTGATAATACCACAACATTTCATGAAATCTACATTTGCTTTAAAAAAATAAGAGAAGGTTGGAAAAGGGGATGTCGTAGGGTAATAGGATTAGATGGTTCTTTTTTGAAAGGACAATGTAAAGGTGAGCTTTTAACTACAATGGGTAGGGATGCGAACAATCAGTTGTATCATATAGCTTGGGCAGTTGTTGATGTAGAGAACAAGAATAACAGGAAATGGTTCTTGGATTTGGTTAATAATGACTTTGGATTGTAGGGTGGAAGGGGTGTTGTGTGTGTAATCAGTGATCAACACAAGGTAAAGTAACTATCTTTTTATTTGAGATTACTTGGTTTTTGTTTACAATGGTTTGTGAACTTGCTAATTAAGGTTTTCAAGTGCTAGGGTCTTCTTAAAGCTAATGAGGATATTCTACCCAATGTTGAGCACATGTGTCAGGCATATCTAAGCCAACTTCAGAAACGTTTATAGTGGAGTGGAGTTCAAAAACATGTTTTGAGCAGCTACAAAATCTACACTAGAAGGAGATTTCAAGTTTAGCATGGAAAGGATCAAGGCAATAAGTTCTGATGCTTATGATCATATCATGGCAAGGGAACCATATTCATGGTGCAGGGCTTATTTCTTTACTGACTTGGCTTATGAAGTTGTGGAGAATGGGGTTGCTGATTGTTTTAATGCAATAATCATAGATGCAAGAAAGAAACCTCTACTGACTATGCTTGAAGATATTAGGCTTTACATGATGGAAAGGTCTTACAAATGGTACACAATAAAAAAATCATGCAAGAAGGCCAGGTATGAAAAGAAGAAGACATGTATTTGAAAATGAAGACAAGTACTCTTAGGTGTCAAGAAAGGGTAGAATTGTCCAGTGTAAAAATTGTCTACAAATGGGACACTATAAAAAATCATGCAATAATCTTAAAGTGGTGTACGAACCTCAACCTAAAAAAATGGACAAGCCTAGGTTGGAACTTAATTTGCTTAATTGGTCAGGAACTAGAAGCGGATCTAGAGGTGGTAGGGATCTAGTGGAAAAGACAGTAAAGGTGGTGGTAGGGGATCTGGTGGAAGAGTCAAGACAAATTATGGTGAGGGTACTTCTAAGTTTCCAAATGTGGAGATTCCAAAATGTGATCCTGAAAATGTTGAGATTCTAAATATTGAGAGTGAAAAGATTATGAGTCCATATGTTGACAATGAAGTTATAAGGCTAAAGGGTGTGGTGCAATTTTTGCCAATGGTAAAAAGGTGTCACGTAGACGCCACATCAACTTTTACAGTTTTTACAATTTTTACCTACAAACTACGGTGTGGTAAATGGTTTACCTATGATTTTATTTTTAATTTCAATAATAAATAAGAACTTTTTAAAAACCATAATAAAATTAAGAATAACTTAACATTAAAATTTACATTTTATAAATCCTAAAAATTAAAAATAACATGAAATTAAAAATCTCATTAAAAACCTAAAATAAATAAATAAGTAAAAACCATGAAGTGAAAATTTATACAAAAAAAAAAAAAAAAAAAAAAAAAAAAAAAAAAAACACATAACATCAAAATTTCATTTGTGGTTTAGCTTATATTTTTCGCGAATCGAATCCTTCACCGGTTTAGCCGCCTCTTGATCTTCGGGATCGAGGTGCCTCACATCTTGCATTAACAACGAATATTCTGTGAGTCGGACGATTTCAGTCATATGTCTCTCCAAAGTTGAATTTAATTGTGTCATTTGTGGCATCATTTCCTCCGATCTAGTTGACCGTTCGGTTCCGACCGACGAATTTGAAGATTTCGCTTTCCCTTTTCCTCTTGCTCGAGCTTTTTTTTGTCCCTTCCCATCGGAGGAGGAGGCGAGTGTATTTCTTCGATGTCATCGTTGTCATCATTAAGATTAACGCCTACGTGACCATCCGATGACACTTTTTGTGAGCTCGAATACGAAGATGTTTGGTTTCTTTTTTGGCGGATTAGCAATTTCTTCATGTGGTGCAAGTTCCCTCCACCTAATGCTTCTTTTGACAACTTCCCACGCATGAATAAACTTAAAATGCTTTAGCATATCATCTTGGAATGTAGCGTGCGTTTTTTTCAACAAACTCGCTTGACTTTCTCCGCTAGCCCATTGCTTTTCAAAGTTTGTGTAAATTCCATTCTAATGTGTCACGAGTTTGTTAACAAGATTCCATTTCGAGTTACATTGATCGGAGGTCCGATAATCTGGATCTCGACCTATTCCCTTACAAAACCGCTATGTGATACGTAATCAAAATTGATCATGATTTTGACCATTTCCCGTGCCACCATCTTCGGATATGTCAACCCATGCCTTTGCTAACTCGATTTCTTCTTTTTCTGTCTATCTTCTCAGATCGGCCTTCCTTTTTTTGTTGAGGTTGTTGTTCTTCTTGTTCGGAATCGGAAAGAATTTCGGTTAAAGGTATGAAAGGCGGTTGGGATTGAAATTGGAATTGGGTTTGGGATGGTTGGGTTTGCGGTTGGGATTGGAATTGGCATTGTTGTGTCATTTGAAATTGTGAATAATAGCTAGGAACACCATCCATTTGTGGTCAGTAAGGTGGTGGTGATAACGAATCGTAGCCGAAAAGTGCGAACAGGTTGGAAACATTTTGGTTTGGAGCATTTTGCTTGGAAGAGTTTGGATTGTTGGAAGACATTTTGAATGAAAAGTGTGTAAAGTGTGTAATTTGGTAATGTTTTGGAAGAATGGTATGTATATATAAGTAAAATTGTTTTTTTTAAATAAATAAATAAATAAAATGAGAAAGTAACCGTTGTCGACCGTTGGCAAAGTTCCATTCCAAACCCAACGTTCGATTTTCAAAGTTTTTCCATCGGTAGAAACCCACTGCCAGTATTATACCAACGGTAAATTTTTGGTGAGGCCTAGTGTTTACCGGCGGTAAAGAGGCCATGCCAGCATACCGGCGGTGGCAAATTTACGACACCGCTTAGCCTAAGTGATATAAGGTTTCAAATTAACAACCTAAGGTAGTCAAAGTACACTACAGAAGAGATTATGGATTGTTTTGGAATCAATGAAGCAGAATTACAACACTTTGAATGTCTAAAAGAAGTACTTGTGGAGCTTGATATGTCACAGGTATGCTTTCTCATTGTTCATGTTATGATGCTTAATATGTCTAATTGTTTTTTGTTATTATTGTTACAGGATGTTGGATTTTCTTGCCAAATAACAGCTGAAGGAGTCCCTAAAACTCAAGCACTTGGAGATGAGGAATGGATAGACGGGGATATTATGCATGAGGAGGGCATGGATGAGGAGGGAATGGATGAAGAGGGCATGCATGAGGAGGGCATGGATAAGGAGGGGATGGTTGATGAAGTGATGGATGAGGAAGGAATATCTGACACACAACAACTGAGAAGTAGGAAGCCTTCAAAGAGAATAAAAGTGGATCAATTAAGAAAGATGAAGCCTTCAGAGAGGATAACAGAGATATGGTTGAAAAAAATGGTGGTTGATAAACATGGAAGGGGGATGAGTTCATACAACCCACAAAATCTATATTAGGGAGTTTCTAACTCCTGGTTTTGTTAAGAACATGTACAAAACTTTTAGCTTTGGATAATGTTGATAACCCATTTTGTTGATAGGCCTCTATTGTTGATAGCCCCTTTTGTCGATAGCCCTTTTTGTTTATAGCCATCTAAACTTTAGGCTTTGGGCCCCTTGATCATGTTTTAGGGCATTTATATAACTAGCCATAAAAACTTTTGGCTTTGGTTAATATTACTACATGTTCTATAATTTATAGTGTTTATGTTCGATAATTTTGATTCCATGTTTATATTACTCATGCGTACATTGTCTAGTTATATTGATTCCAGTCATGCATGATTCCATTGTTGTGAAATTCTAATATGTATTGATTCCTTTGTTTATTGAGTCTATTGTTTATTGAGTCCATTGTGTATTGGGTCCATTATGTATTGATTCCTTTTGTTTATTGAGTCTATTATGTATTGATTCTTTTGTGTATTAAGTTCATTATGCATTGATTCATACATTGATTCCATTCATGATAACAATGGAAACATTTATAATTCATACATAAACTTGTTAATTCATGCATAATTTGATGAGACACAACATACTACATTCATAATAGCCTAACAATCCTTAGTCATAACAACTTTCTATCCTACCAATCCTTCAACAGAACCAACACAAACACAAAAGAAACCACAAACACATAAAACAAGGATTTACATCTTCCATCTTCATTTCCATTCTGATGTTGAATGCCCACTCCCTCCACTGGTAGTTGTGTCATTGGTTGTTCCATAAAGTCTCTAAATAGTCCAAGGTTCCCTGCAAGTTGTTCTTACCCAACCTCCCCTAATATTGCATGGTTCTCCAAATTGACATTGTTGTGAAATTCTAATAAGAGGTTTGCATACCACTGGTTTGATAGAGGAGGATCCACTCAATGAAAGTACTTGCAATCTTTAAGTTCATCATGGTAATTTGGGCAGCCTATAAACCTTCTTCATAGGTTTAATGGAGTCCATGAAGTCCATGAAGTCCATCTTCCTACGGGATCACCACAATAGCACCTGCTTCTAAGGCGATTCATCACAACTCGATTTGATCATTGGCTTCTTACAGAAGATGAAGACAATATCCCTTGCTCCTCCTGCTTCGATCGTTGCCTGGTCCGATTTTAGGGCACGAATGAGCTTGGTAGCCTTTAAATTCAACCTATATTTAATGAGTCACCAACCACCTCAACAACTACTATCAAGTGTTACCGGTTGAATGAGGGTCACCATATGAAAATGGTCGAAATGTTCAATTTATCCGGTTTCCTGGGTTTTTTTGTTATAAAAATTGGGACTAAAGTGTAACTTTTCCCAAAATAAATGAACTTTTCTGAAGATTTTCCTCTAAAAGTGTGTATTCTATAGGGCATACGGGGTTCTAATGTTAGTTGAATAGACGGCCAACAGTATCATTATGGAAACGAATCTGGCGACTCATAAGGTAGCGTTAGAGTGTATGGCGGTGGGTTTTGTTGTTTTTTCTTTCTGCTCTCTCAAGCTTTTGTTACTTGTAAATCATGCATAAAGACTTGTACCAAAATAGTTTTGTATGTTTAAATTAGTTTTATATGTTTTAATATTTTTATTAATTAATTTTGTATTATTTTAATTAGTTTGTCATTATTTTAAAATTAGAAATTAAAATTTAGTTTTTAACTATTTTAAAATTAGATTTTGTATTATTTTAATTAGTTTGTAATTATGTACCGAAAAGAAAATTGGGTTTGAATGAATGAAAATGAAAGGAAGGAAAAGAAAAATGGGCTTGAAATGGATTTGAAATGGATTTGAAGGCATGAGAAATATGGATACCACAAATGGATTTGAAGGTCTGGCAGCATCTCCAACCTTATACTAAAAAAACCACTTTTACACTATAAATTACATTATAATTCTCCAACCTTATATTATATATAGTGTTGGATTTTAGTGTAACACTATATATAGTGTTAGATTTTAGTGTAACATTAAATATATTATTGAATAAAGAACAATATACCTAGAATATTTTTTTAGTGTTAAATATAGTGTAATGGGTTGGAGACGTTAGGGTGCATTTGGTTATGGAAAATTGTTTTCATTTTCTAAGAAAATGTTTTTAGAAAATAGAGTTGAGTTTTCATTTTCAATTTTCAATGAAAATTTTAGAAAACTCGTTTGGTTGAAACCGGAGGAATTTTTATTTTCCATCTTAGAAATTTGGAAAACTTTGGAAAACTGTAAAAATCACTTTTCTAATTTATATACAATTTGAAAAACTGAAAATTTTCATTTTCTTGGAAAATTTTGGAAAACAGAACGAACCATACGCATTTTCAAAATTTCCGTTTTTCTTGGAATTTTTTTCTAGAAAACTGGATAATTTTCCACAACCAAACGCACCCTTGTGGAAAACTGTTTTCATTTTATAAGAAAATGTTTTCAGAAAATAGAGTTGAGTTTTCGCTTTCAATTTTCAATGAAAATTTTAGAAAACTCGTTTGGTTGAAACCGGGGAAGTTTTCATTTTCCATCTTAGAAATTTGGAAAACTGTAAAAATCACTTTTCTAATTTACATATAATTTGGAAAACTGAAAATTTTCATTTTCTTGGAAAATTTTGAAAAACTAAACGAACCAAACGCGTTTTCAAAATTTTCGTTTTTCTTGGAAAATTCTCCTAGAAAACTGAAAAATTTTCCACAACCAAACACACCCTTAGTGTTTATATTATTTTTTACACTATAACTATATGTATAATATAAAAAAAATAATATGTAAAAAAATAATGTTAAAGGTGGGAGATGTTCTTAAAAAAACTCATTTGAAAGACACAAGGGCATAAATGTAATTAGACATGATAAGTAGTGAACCAAATGAAAACAGCAACACTTGCTTTATCAAGAATCCGGGGTGGACGTTACCTTGTGGATAATGTTTCCGATCGGAAATCAAATGAATTGAAGCTCAAATCCACCGTCCACCACCATACAAACAAATGGTTTTCTTAATCTTCTATACACGCATACACCCTACGCCGCCGCCTCTTCGCAATCAGCAACTATGGCCGGCTCCGGCCATCACCCAACCCCCCTTCTTCTCATTAAACCCCACTCCTACTTTTCCTCGCCGGATTCACACAAAGGCACGCCGCTGGGACTCAAATGCAGAGACATTCCGAACACAAAGCTTCGATTTTAACTCCGGAGACGACGATGAAGATGACGAATTTGAAGACGATGATGCAAATCAGTGGCTCGACATCCTTGAAGACTTCATTGACGGTGTGTGGATTTTTAAGGTGATTTTATGTTTATTTAGTTTTGAGTCCTGAAAAATAGAAAGTAATAGCTTCAGCCATCGAACTTCATTGACATATGACAGTGTGTTATTTATAACCAGTGCAGGTATTCCGATCATTTGGGTGGTTTCTTCCGGCGATAATCTCGTCTCTACTGTTGACCTCAGGTCCGAAAGCGTTCCTTATGGCGATGGCTATTCCCCTCGGCCAATCGGCGCTTTCTATGTTATTTCAAACAGTTTGGGGAAGACCGAAGAATAAAACCAGACGTCGAGGCAAGAGCAAGAGCGAGGGTAAGAGGAAACCACCGCCGCGACGTGGTGGTGCAAGCTATGTGGACATGGATGAAGAAGAGTATCCCAGAGGAGAGAGAAAAAGGACGCCCGGGTATCAAACATGGGTGGCGGGAGGCGGTGGTCCAAGTGATAAAAAAAGTGGTGGTTCATCGGCGAGTTTTGGTGGGTGGGAAGAACTGGATAGAAAAAGTGGGTCGTTTACAAATGGAAAACGGAAGCCATTGAAGAGTAAATTGAGCAGGAGAGAAAGACGAAGCACGACACCATTGTTTTTTAGATTGTTGATTGCAGTATTCCCATTTTTAGGTTCATGGACTAGAATGCTATAATAAGATTACAGTGATCTTTTATACAAATAATGAGCAATAATATTATAGCAATGTATTTATATTTTTGTAGCAAAATGCAAGAACGTTGCTATTTTTGGTAAAAAAAAAAATTACATTGCCATTGTAGGAACATACTTACATAGTTACAAGTTACATATTTTCACTATTAATGAAATATGTAACAAATAGTTTAAAGTTTTAACGAAAAGAAAACATGTTGCTAGCCTAGTACTGATGTAAAGTGCATTTCTATATAGATAAGTTATTATGGATAAAAAAATAAAGTAAATTAAGAGGAGAATACATTGCTATTTTCCTCACAATTTATATTTTCTTGTATTTCTCTTTCTTCAGTATTTAGAAAACAAATGCGTAGTATAAATTATCACAGCCTCTCCAAAATTCAGTCTTTCATGGAGGAAAAGTATCGCATGAAATTAATGTACTCTCAAGTCTTAACAAAATTTGATGATAGCTTTGCTAATTAAGGTTCTAATCGCCTCCGGATTTTAGCTTTTTCCTCTGTTTTCTCTTTTGATCATGCAACCCTGAATAAAAAAAAAAATCAATATCGTTAACAAAATAAAAAACGATTTATTTATTTATTTTTGTTTTTCTGGAAAAGATGGATTTACGTTTTTTATCTTCTTTCCTCTTTCTTCTTAGGTTGTCTAAGCTTCTTCGCTTTTCCCCAGCCCCTTTAAGATCCATGGAAACCTGAAAACATAAATTGAGGATAAGAAGGGTATTCACGTCTTTTGCACAATTCATGAGTACAACCTGTTCTGTTTTGTCATGAGTAACGAATGGGGCTTACCTCATGACCACTGCTTCTGAGTGCTTGGAGTGGTTCGACACAATCATGACCAATAACAACCATTTTCCTCTTGTTGTTATTATTATTTCTCGGGTTTTCTTTTTCAGCAAGTTTCTGTTTTGCTAATTCTTCAAATTGTTGTTGAAGAAGTGGTGAAATACCAGCCTGCAAAAGAGAAACACTCAAATGAGGTTCATTTTTTTTTTATCTTCTTGAAAACAAGTGATGAAAGAAAAAGTTTATTTTTATAGTGTGTTTTCATTGATTGTCTATTAGAGTGTCATACTTTCATTTCTTCCTATTACATCATTGTAGTTTGAAAATCAACCCTATTATAGCAATGTAATCCAAATAATAGATTTTTCAGAGTATAATGTTCTAATAAGAAAAAATTCAAAGTATAACCAAGTACATTCTTCAAAGTACAATGTTTTTTAATAGAAAAAGGTTGTATGTACAAAAAAACAAATAGAAGAAAGTATGTTACTATTTCTTGCAGTTAGCCATTTATGTTTTTCCTTACAATTCCCAATTGTCTTGTTATTTTCTTTTTAAAAAAAATAATAATAACAGAATATTTTAGGGTTAATCTCATAAAAAAACCTAAATTTTGTGTTTTTTCCGGATTAAACCTCAAATTTATTTTTTGCCTGAAAAAGACCTTGTATTTTTTCGTTTTTTACGAAAAAACCCTCAACTTCGTATTTTTTCTGAAAAAAAACCCTCAACCTTCAAAACGCTTCCAAATAAACCCTCAACCTTTTTAGTTTTTCTCAAAAAACCCTCAAAATTTACAATTTTTTTGGAAAAAAAAGACTAAAAGGGCAAAATCAGAAAAAATATAAGGCAAAAAAAAATTAAGGTTTAATCCGGAAAAACACAAAATATAAGATCTTTTTTGCGATTAACCCAACATTTTATCTAAAAAATAGTTTATTCAGGCATGCAGCAGTTAATTGGAGAAAAGAAACAGATAGCAAATTTGCAATGATCCTCAAAAAGGGAATATATATATATATATATATATATATATATATATATATATATATATATATATATATATATATATATAATGTAATGATTAATGATGAATTACCCCTGCCAAATATCGACTTGAGAATGATTTGGGTTGCAATGGACGAGAAAGCAGTGACTTGAGCTCCTGCATGAAAATAGTGAAAATCAGCATGAAGAAAATAATTATGGTTTAATAAGAATGAGAAAGAGGAGAAAAGCAAACCTGTTGAAGGTTTTTTAGTTTTGCAGAATTTGCTTTTGTTTTTCTGATAGTGTTTGCTCTTTCATCCTCACTGTCATTTTCTTCTACAATCAATTCGATTGATTCAGCATTTCGTTGAAACCAGGTCTTATCAGCCTTATCCTATAACAAGTAAAGTAATTTATATTTTATGGGTAAATAAAAATAAAAAAAAAATAAAAAAAAATAAAAAAAAAAAACTGTAAGTAAGTTGATATTATGTGTAAAGTAAAGAAATGAAATTTAAATTTATTTACCTGTGATTCCTTTCGCAAAACCCTGTCTATTTGGCGTGCAAGAGATAGGCGCTTTATTACCTCAGGCATGTATGAAGAGTCTATAGGGAATTGCTGGAAACTTTCCTGAATGTAAACCAATCCAGAATGAGTTTAAAAAAAAAAACTAAAAAACACAAGTATTATTTATAGCGTAAAAAACTAACCTTTGAAAATGATTTGCACAAAGAAGAAAACTTTGATGATTCTTTTGGTGAAATGAGAGCAATGCTGCACCCATCCGCAGAAGCTCTAGCTGTTCTACCACTTCTATGAACATAAACCTGCCAATTACACACACATATATATATATATATATATATATATATAGAAGATTGAATAAACAAATAATGGAGTATATCAGATTAAAAGAAACAAACAAACAACTTACTTCTGCAGAATGAGGAAGTTGATAATGAACAACAGTTCGAACACCAGGAATATCAAGACCCCTAGCTGCAACATCAGTAGCCACAAGTATTCCATGATCATTTGCACGAAAACGATCAATCGCCTGCATTTCAATTTCAACCAACAGTTATGATTTATATAATTTTTTTTACATATCAAAAAATAATTAATGATTGTATTATGTTTAACCTTGAGTCTAGCACGCTGCTGCATCTGTGCATGAAGGGTCAAAACATTGACATTAAGAATGCGCATAAGGGAAGAGATATGACGAAGGGCTGCAATTGATGTACAAAAGACGATAGTACGCCCTTGTCCATGAACAGATAAAATATAATACAAACATGCATCTTTATCTTCTTCAGGACACCTGTAAATTGATGTTTAATTTTTTCTTTTGAGCTTTTTCATTAAAAAGTAAACAGATGAATAAAAGGGAAAGGGATATTATTATCATACTCAATGAAGGACTCCTCAAGATTATTTGCCATAATTGAAGCATTTGTGAGATCAATAACAGCAGCATTAGAACGCATCCCTGCACGTTCAGATAAGGCTTCAATTGAGTTCAATTCACCATCTGATTTTGTTTTCACAGATCCACGTTTAAGTTTTTTCCTAAAATCAGAAGATAAGGCAATAGTTGCTGAAAACACAAAAGTCTGCCTTTTCTTCCTTTGAAAGCCTGAAGCTGTGACACAATTTTCAGAAACTTCTTGATGTCCTTCACGAATCATGGGAAGCATGTCAATAATTGACTGCAGCTCATGAAAATGACCATTATCTATCATTCTGTCTGCCTCATCCAGCACAAAGAATGACAATGAATGTAACTGCAAAAATCATCAACACTTAATATTATACCTAATTATAGCATTGTACTTTCTGTTTTTATTCTTGTAAAGGCATTGTGCTTTGAAGAATCTAGCCAATTATAGTATTGTAGTTATAATTTTGTTTCTTAATAAGACATTGTACTTTAAAAAATGGGTTGATCTCAAAAAAGACCTTAGATTTTGTGTTTTTTCTGGATTAAACCTTGAATTTATTTTTAAGACCTTGTATTTTTTCATTTTTCCAAAAAAGTCCTCAACTTTGTATTGTTTTTTTCTGAAAAAAAACCCTCAACCTTCTAAATGCTTCCAAATAAACCCTCTGACTTTTTTAGTTTTTCGCGAAAAAAAAACCTCGCATTTTACAAAAAAAAAAAATTGGAAAAAAAGGGTTTTATGCAGAAAAGTCTCATTATTTTGGGAAAATTTTCGATCAAGTCCTAAATTTTTATTTTTGAACAGAAAAGTCCTGATTATTTAACATTTTGCCCAAATTAACAAAAAACTCATTTTTTTATTTTAACAGCAAACGACAGATTATGTGATTTTCCCAAAATAATGGGACTTTTCTGTTCAAAAAAAAAACATTTAGGATTTTATCAAAAAAATTCCCAAAATAATGGGACTTTTCTGCATAACACCAGGAAAAAAATGACTAAAAGGGCCAGATCGAAAAAAAATGAAAAAATGCAAGGTCTTTTTCAGGGAAAAAATAAATTTGAGGTTTAATCTGAAAAAAAACACAAAATATAAGGTTTTTTTTTAGATTAACCTTTAAAAAATCTACCAAATTATAGCATTAAATATGTTTTGTATTTGGATGGCATTGCTATAGTTGGGTAGATTTTTCAAAGTACAATGTTGTAATAGGGAGGGCTAAATGCAAGAAATAGCAACATACTTTTATTTATTTGTTTACTACAGCATCCTATTTTTTCATTTCTTTCTATTACAACATTATACTTTCAATTTTTTCTTATTAAGGCATTCTGATTTGAAAATGTAGGCAATTATAGCATTGTAATTTTATATTTTATTTTCTATCAAGACACTGTACTTCAAAAGTTCTACCGAATTATACCATTTGGAAAATATATATTGTATTTGGATGACATTAATATAATTGCATATTTTTTTCAAAGTACAATGTTGAAGCTTGCAATAAGGAAAAATGAAAGTAGAATGCTACAATAAAGAAATAAATAAAGGTATGTTGCTATTTCTTGCATTTAACCCTAGTTTGAATTTTTATATAGTAGACATCAAAAAATTTCCAACTCACCTCAACAAGATGAATTTCTCCACCTGACATTAGTTCCCATAGCCTCCCTGGAGTTCCAACAACAATCTCAGGTCTTGTTTTCAAAAGTCTTTCTTGCTTTTCTGTTGACATTCCACCAACAATAGGAACAACCCTAACATCTGTCCCTTTTGCCACTTGCTTCAAATGATCAGTGACCTAAGAGAGGAAATAACATTAATGTTTAGGGTTTAGTGTTTAGGGTTTAGAGTTTAGGGTAATGAGTACCTGAAGTGCAAGCTCCCTAGTGGGAGTAATAATAAGTGCCCTTAAAAGACCTCTTGAAACAACTTTTTCATCCGCCTCTCCTTTTTCTTCCACCTGTCTCTCTAATTTATCTCTTTCTTCAAGAAGGCGTTGTAAAATCGGTAATCCAAATGCCAGTGTTTTACCAGACCCTGTCTCTGCAGCACCAATCACATCCTGTCAAAAGAACATGTTAAAAGATGCACCACATAAAATGGTAGCATGAAAACTTGTCAAATTACTAAACTAACCTTTCCCTGATGAGCACCTGCAGGTATACAAGCTTTCTGTATAGGTGTTGGTTCTATGAACTTGAGCCTGGATATTGATTTCATAAGCAATGGATGAAGCCTAAGCTCATACCATGCATGATATTCAGAGTCATCAACTTGATCTTCTTCTTTATCAACTTGATCATTGGTTTCTGCAACTGTTGAAATAATTTTTGAAGGAAGTTTGTCAATACAGTAATTTATAGAGCTTAAAACATGCTATAGTACTTGTTAATTTGAAACTAAAGTAACACTAACCAGTAACTGTTTCTTCTTCAGTGTCCATGGATTCCTTGGGCTTTTTAGCCTTCTTCTTTTTCTTTTTCTTCTGCTTCTTCTTTGTCTTTCCAACCTCCTTTTCAGTCTCACCATTATTAACCTCCTCTCCAGTCTCATCATTTTTAACCTCCTCCTTAACAACTTCATCACTGTTACTTTCTTCCCTCTTCCGTTTCGTCAGTTTTTCTGGTTTCTTCCCTCCCTTTTGAAATCCTTTTGGAAGCTCCAATCCATACTCTGATTCATCAATCTCTTCAAGAGACAAAACACCTGCAGCAACAAAGCTGAATAGTCAACTAAGATACTCATGAGACGGTTTATGGATCCATTTTTTCATAATACAATATAAACCTTAACTACAAATCTGTCTTGATAAAGGAAGGATGTAAACTAGACAAAAGAAAGTAACAGAAAGAACATCTAATGGATACTTAAATTGATGAAAGACAATAACCTAGGAACACTTTAATTTTCATTACTTGCGTTCTCTTTGCTTTCTACAATACATTAAGATATTGTAATATTTGGTGTTGAGCCTTCGAACAATGAAGCATATATATCAACAGAAGTTATATTTTTCGTAGAGAAAAGGAACTGGATTTACTGTAGCAAGAATTTCCAAACTCTCCTATCCTTTAATTTCAATTACTTGTTGTCTTTTATGAAGAAGAAAGTAAATAGCTAGTGAGCTAAAACCTATAAACCCTAAAATATCAGCAAAACAAGTTATCATTTCCAAAAATCAATAGAATGAGCTGATGCTAGAGCAAATACGAACCTCCTTCGAAGTCATTCAATCCGGCGAGTGCAGAGAACGGATCGTCGTCGGTATCGGGAAGTGATGAGGCCCATGGGAGTGAGTCGAATCGTTCTAGTTGTCCCGCGCTCTGTCTGACTATATTCCTCTTTCTCTGTTTCTTCTTTGGTGGTTGAGAGGCCATCGCCGGTAGGGTTTTAGCGTAAAACGGCGGTGATGCTTTGCTAAGGGGTTGTGGCGCTGTTCTTACTTCATGCACTTCCTTGGTGAAGCAATTTAGGCTACCAATCAATAAAGTACAAACCACAGAGCCTCACGTACAAGTTTCAAGTTATTTTTCTTTTATCAATTTGTCACGTAACATAAATTTATTTAACTTCGGACACTAAAGTTGTTTTTCTTACTAATTTACCACCAATGCCAACTCCGTTAATTAAATTTGACGAAATTAGTTGATCACCGTCATGTCCGTACTTTGAACTTTTTGTAGTCAAACGCAGATTGGTTTTTAGAATATTTATGGATGAATTGGAATCTATTAAAGAATTACAATTTGTCATAAATTAGAATTCAATTTTAGGGGGTGTTTGAATTCAGTTTTAGGGTATTTGATACAGGGAAATGAAAGAGTTACGATAGAAATTGGAATCCAATTGTATGAGGTGTTTGGTTTAGGGAAATGGAATTGTTTCTATTACCCTATTTGTTTTGTATTAAAATGAAGAGAAAAAGAGAAAAAATTCAATTTCATTTCCATCATGAGTAAATTACACGAATGGTTCTTATGGTTTAGGGTAATTTGCGTATTTGGTCTCTAATTTATTTTTTTAACTCGGAAGGTTCCTACTGTTTGTTTTTGTTACGCGTTTGGTCCCTGTCTTACCTAAAAAAACTATTTTGCCCTTGATTTTTTTAATTTATTTAAATAAACACACCTCCTCACCTTACCTTACCTACCTCCACCGTTTTTCCTTATTTAAATAACAGTCTTTTTAGGTAAAACATGGACCAGACGCGTAACAAAAACAAACAGTAGGGACCAAGCGCGTAACAAAAACAAACAGTAGGGACTTTCCGAGTTAAAAAAATAAGTTAGAGACCAAACGCACAAATTACCCCAAACCATAGGGACCATTCGTGTACTTTATTTAATTTCTCTATTATGTATAGGGAAAATAGGAGAATTGGAACGCCTAAGAGTAAAAAAAAAAAGCGGAGACGTGGAAATCAAAACCCGCTTTCCATAGTTCGATCCTGCATTCTACATTCAACATCTTTTTTTTTCACTTCGATTTCAATTATAATTTTGGATTGATGCCTTCGATTTCAAGTTTGCTTTTGGACTCCTCGACAATCAAATTCATGGATTTCAAGTATGATTTTGGACTGGACACTCGATTTCAGCCTAGGTATCCATTCCTCTGCATTTGGTTTTATAGTGTGTGATTATGCCCTACACCTTATCCAATTGTAATCGTGATTTTGGTGCACTTAAAATTGAAAATCGATTTCAAGTTTTATTTTGGTACTAGCTATTTTTCTACTAGTCGATTCTTGGCAACCCTACAATTTTCCAATTAAGGTATTTTTTCATATAATGGATTAAATCGCTCATGTGTTCTAACTCATTAGTGTTTGTGAAGTTTAGTTTGTTTTAAGTGATTATGGTTTGATCGATTTATGTTGAAGAATATGATAATTTTTTCGATTTATTGTTTGATCTTCTTTGTATCTGATGTAGTTGGTAATATGTGTTCATCCATTGCAAAAAAAATTCTTGGTTTGTGTTTGACTTATATGTACAAAAGCAATTTTTTTTACTATTTTAGTTTTTTATATATTTTTTATCACAACTTTGAACCCTTATAAAATCTTCATACGAGCTTGGAATGAGGTATTTTTTTTTCAGATTGTAGTTCTTTGTCTTGGCTACGTTTTATGATCAAAAAATAGTTTAATTGGTTAAGATTTTGCTAAGTTATACAGCCCTAAACAGTGGTCGTGATTGTTGGTTAGTATTTCAGCATGTTTTAGAAATTGTCCCACATTTGAACCTTTATAAAATCTTCATACGAGCTCGGAATGATACGATTTTTTTTTCAAATTGTAGTTTCTTTCTTGGCTAGGTTTTGGATCAAAAAAATAGTTTAATTGGTTAAGATTTTGCAGAGTTACTCATCCCTAAACAGAGCTTGTTTTTTTCAGAATTTTAAGTTATGTTTTTTAGTTTTTACAAACATTGAAGTTGACTAGTTGCACATCTTGTATTAGACATAGTTATGTTTTTTTAGTTGTTATGAATATTTAAATTTGACTTTTTGCACATCAAATATTGAACATAGTTTTTAAATAGTATTATTTTCATATTTCTTTAAGTTTAGATATATTTGTACCTTATTTATTTATATTATAAATATGTTTCCAATACAAGATGTATATAAAATATATTAATTAACAATAAAAGAAATTATTTGGTAACAAATAATGTTAAAATGAAATACTATAAACATAGAATATGCATATTTTGACAAATTAAGATTTACATCATAATACATTCTTTACTAAAAAAAATGTTGTTTATAAATGAATAAACAAGGTAAAAAAAACTTATCTTCATTTCACTGTTTGATACAACCAAACAAGAAAAATGGATTCTCATAGTTCTACCAAATAATTGAGTCAATTCTCTTTCTCCAGCTTAATTTTTTTTCTTTGGATTTTCATTCTCTGCTGCAACTCCATTTCTTTATGTTGTGGCATTGGTGTATGTCACACCCCCGAACCGGAACGGCGGAAACGTCCGGGGGCGGATGACTTCATTGTACAGTATCATAACAATTGAATATGAATGAAACATAGCAAACAAACATCATACATCGTAAATACACACTTACATAGTTTACATATTGAACTTGTTCATCAGTTACACAAAAGTAAGAAAAGTAAAATTTCTTGAAGTCGCACCACTTGATCTCATAGCCGAGCTTATTACCTGTTACTGGATCCCTGAGAATACAAGTCGTTTTGAAAAGCGTCAACTAAAAAGTTGGTGAGTTCATAAGCATTTTTGTATAAAATGGTTTTGTACTTGTTTAGAGTAGTTCTCATAGTGTTTTCAGAAAATCCGATATTTTCTATAAAATAATTTGTAAGTCTCGTTCTAAAACTGTGAATATATGCATGTATGTCCTTTGTTATCTTTTGTTTGTAAGAGTAAAGCGAATGTTCCCAGAAAATCCGATATTTTCTAAAATGAAATGATTTGAAATATTGGTGTCCGATCTTATGTTAATGCATGTGTGTTAATGTTTGTGAAAATAGAAAGAGAATGATCCCAGACAACCGGATGTTGTCTGTGTAAGAGAATGCTAGAATCTCAACTCCCAAGGTTGAGTACCAGCGCGTATAGGTTACCGTTTTATCCAAAAAGAAAAGAAAGAGAATAGTTTCCCATAAATTTTATAACGTTAATTCCTCTATGTGAGCCGCTATAACCATACTTGATAATGACAATTTCGCATGTCATGACGTCTTTGGGACGCCGACATAATAAGGTACGGTTTGTCACCCTAGACTGGCCTAGTCTAACTGTAGCGAACAGCTCAGGTGTGGGGCGTCACCCCTGTATAGATCTATACACAAACTCACGCTCTCCCTCCAAGAGACTCTGGTTATAACTACAGGCTATGATCGTACACTCAACAGGTGTCAACCGACACGTCTCACTAGATCCTTAATCAAATTTACGTGAAAAAAGAAAGAAGAACATATAAGGTATATTCCAGGCCCAATAAACATGTAAGTGGACAACTAAGGCCCACTAAGCATGTAAATTATTTCTAGGCTCAAAAGGAATGAGATTATATATATCCCGGGCCCAATATATATGTAAAAGGACAACTAAAGCCCACTAAACACGTAAAAGGACGCTAAGGCCCACCAAACATGTAAAAGGACACTAAGGCCCACTAAACATGCAAAAGGACACTAAGGCCCACTAAGCATGTAAAAGGACACTAAAGCCCACTAAACATGTATATTATATACAGGCCCAATAAGGACGTATATATATATATATATATATATATATATATTAAGTACATATAAGTTAACATGTCTAGATGTTTTAAAAGTATATATAAGTTATACAAACTTGCATCTAAAACATGTATAAGTAGAGGTCATTGAAACAATTGAGATTATAAGTTAACATGTCTACATGTTTTAAAACAACTATAAATATCATTAAACCATATATTATATTTAATTTTATTCATGAGAAACCCGCAAGTAGAGGTCATTGAAACAATTGAGATTATAGAATCTTAAAAGATGACTACATTATCATATAATTCAAAATAAACAATATTTATACCAACATATTATAAGATTTATTATATAAGAGCTAACAACAACGTCATTAATATATTTAAAAACATATATTTGTAAAGATTTCAAAATCTATTGTTGTATTTTGCGCAACGCACGTGTATTCGTCTAGTCTATATCTATATCTATATCTATATCTATATCTATATCATATCATATCATATCATATTATAAAAGAAGCATTTTTCCTTTCACCACATTTATTGAAACTCCAACGTATTTTCCCTTTCACCACATTCATTTGAAACTCCCCATGACTTTTCAATTTCTTTCTAATAATAATTATAAGTTGTTTAATAAGGCTAAATAAATATCAAACCTAAATTGTAATCATATATAAACTAAATTTCAATATTAAAATAATATCTTTACTTTTACCTATAAATTTATGTTTTTTTTAACTTTTAGCATATTATACTTAATTTATTAGTTTTAATATAGTTTTGGATGTAAACCATTATCATTTTAAAGATACAATTTTGGAACAATTTGTATAAAATACTTAAATTATTAATCTAAATATAACATTATAGGGTCAACTTAAATATAAATTTTAGTTTAACTTAAACAACCCAAAAAATATTTTGTAAATAGTTAAAAGTGATAAATTATAGTGTCTTTCTAATAATGATTATAAATTGGTTAATAAAGTTAAATAAATATCAAACCTAAAGGGTAATCATAAATAAACAAAATTTCAATTTTAAAATAATATCCTTACTTCTACTTATAAAGTTATGTCTTTAACTTTTAATATATTATACTTAATTTATTAGATTTAAAATGTTGTTGTATGTAAACCATTATCAGTTTAAAGCTACAACTTTTGAACAGTTTGGACAAAATACTTAAATTATTAATTTAAATATAACATTACAGTATCAACT